ACATCTAACCCCTTAAGTTCAGCATTACTCTCTGCATTTTTAAGCACGTGCAGCAAAAATTCAGCACTCTTTTTGGGCCACCGACCTTGTGTCCAGCCCCACTGTTTAGCCTGGGCACATCTACCAACTCCACCATTGTAACGACGGAATGGCACACACTGCTTCTGTAAAGTGACATCCTTCAGATACTTGGTGGCTTTTCCGATATGCATACCCTTGATGGCCTGGGCAGTTTCACAAGTGTTCTTAAAGTGAACAAAAAGATTTGAACCTCTTGACTTGTATGACTTTGTGGGGTTCTCTGGGTCAAGTGAATAGCAAACCATTTTCAAAGATCACCTCAGGCCGCTACGGACCGGCCCCCTGCACTTTTGATGAATGTGAATTATTTTTTTTTAAAGCAAGATACACCTTGTATTCTATTATAAAAAATAAATGCCAAATGTTCAGAGGACAAGTTAACTTGTCACTGACATTATTTAAGGGATTTTAAAGTTCCTGAAAATTAAAACTAGAAATGTCTACCAATTAAAGGTTTTCATTTTTTTTTTTGAGAGGTTTTTGCTATAGGGCGCGTGCACTCACCACAAAGAAAAAAAAAGGGGGGGGGAAGATATATTAAGAGGTTGGCCCACCCTTAGTGATACAGGACCATAGTATTCTAGAAGTCATGGCAGACCAGGGGTTGAGAACTCATTTGGACGTCACTCTAGGAACCTAATTAAAATCCTAACTAGCTAGAGAGCTAGGGAAAGGAGTTACTTCATAAAGGGAGTTACTACATAAAGGCGTTACTACACCCTGCTGAGGATGCCATTCTCTCTCTTCTTATGTGCATGTGCATAACTTTTTCTCATGAAAGAAAAACTTTAACAGGCTAAAAAGTAGAAATAAACAACTAAGCCAGTAAATTGATCTCATTAATCAAAAACCCAAGAAAAGGGTCAGGAAGTAGCATATAGTGGTAACAAAATGGCCTACAATGCTGGACTGATATGGGAAGGTCCCAAGTTTTCACTCTTGGGGCATCCATGTATACCCTAGGTACACAGGGGCACCTGTGATCTGAGGCTAGGGATGGATCATGGCAAGAGGATCCTATTGAGGGTCCTGTCTTTCTTTTTCTTTAATGGAGAAAGTAAGTTTAAAATGAAAAGAACTGGAATTACCAAATGAGTCAGATTTAATAGTTTTATACAAATAATCTGGTTGTGAAAGAATCTGCAAAATTTTTTATCAGGTCCTTTAATATCACCACTAACCAGCCCAAGAATCAAATAACTTGACTTAAAGTTAGTATAGACACTAAGTGTGAGCTCTGAAACTAATCCCAGGTTCAAATCCTGACATTGCTATTTATTAGATTTTGTGATCTTCAGCAAGATAGTCAACTCTCAGTACGTGTTAAATTATGTTCTATGAAGTCTATGTGACAATACTGAATCACCATCCCATGAAAAAAACAAGTCTGGATTCCTGCTAGACTGGTTATAACATTATTTCACCCATCCAATACATAATACTGATTTATGTGTATTTCTGTTTAAAGGCACTTTATTTAATATATATGTTGACCGAACTCAGGGTCAACAGCACTGTAATTCATGTCTAAACAAATCTTATCTAATGTAAGTATTTCTCTATAAGACACATTACAGCTTCTTACAGTTACAGCAAAACAGTTGGGGGCCACTGCAAACAGCAAAATTACCAACAAAAATTACCAAATTCAAAAACTGTGGAACCAAACAAACCATTAAAAAATTTTATGCTTATGGTATGAGAGCTAAACAAGGTAGAGCACATACTGTTAGACCCAGCTTGGAATTTGTATGTTCAGAAACCAAGTATTAATATTAACATTTTGATAATTTCATATGAGCATGTCCGAGACCACAAAAGAACCGAAAATACTAATTGAGGGATTACAAATAAATTTTAGCAAGTAGGCAAATTTGAAAACACGGAATCTGTCAATAATGAGGAGTGGGAACCAGCAGTTAGTGTAATGGCTATGTCGCTGGACTCCCACGTAGTCGACCGCGGTTCGCGTCCAGGACCCGGTGGCTTAAAACTCACGCCGGGCGCATGTGCGTGCATGCCCAAGATCCCGAGAGGAGAATGGAGGAGAAGGGATTGCGGCGTGACCATCCCCCCTGGGGGGTGATTTCTCGCTTTCTGTCTCAATGTCTCTGTCTGTCTGGCAAGCGCACGCCCTATAGCGAAAACCTCTCCAAAAAAAAAAAAAATGAGGAGTGACTTATACTTTATCTCCTTGCATTAGCTTCTTTATATGAATCATGGGGCAATAACAGTACCTCCACTTAACTAGAACCCTTTTGAAAATTAAGAAAGAAAAAACTGACTGGTCCCATAGTGGAGTAGGTAAGTGCTATGCACTGAGAGACAGATCTCACATGGCAGACCACAGTTCAAATTCTGCCCGTCAGCTTGAAAAACACAAAGTGGGAACCAGCAGTTAGCGTAATGGCTATGTCGCTGGACTCCCACGTAGTCAACCGGGGTTCGCGTCCCGGACCCGGTGGCTTAAAACTCACGCCGGGCGCATGTGCGTGCATGCCCAAGATCCCGAGAGGAGAATGGAGGAGAAGGGATTGCGGCGTGACCATCCCCCCTGGGGGGTGATTTCTCGCTTTCTGTCTCAATGTCTCTGTCTGTCTGGCAAGCGCACGCCCTATAGCGAAAACCTCTCCAAAAAAAAAAAAAAAAACATAATAGCACATTATGCGGGTGTTCTCAAAATCCTGATGAGAAGAATAATTGAAAGGAAGAGAATGTAGTGTAACTATGCCCCATGAGATACAATTTCTCTCTCCAATAAGAACATGTTTTCATAGGAAAAAAGAAAAACATGTATAGAACACTACCTGACACTTTAAAATACACCTTGAAATATTTAACACTAAATTTAACATCAAATACGAAACTGAAATTTTCTTATCATGGAAAATAGTCTACAGAAAAACTGAAGCTCCTTGGCCTCATGTTTACAGCAGCAAATTCCACATGACTGAACCCATGATTTGAGTCCCAAACCCAGCAGCTAAAGAAACACAACAGGCACAGAAAGGAGGGAGAGATGGATGAGAAGAGATAGCTACGTCTGATCATTACCCATGGTGGGTGCTTTCTCCTCTCCCTCTTTCTCTGGCAAGGGCATGTGCTTTATACCAAAGGAAGATTCGAGAGAAACTAAAGGAGACTTATTTTGGCTCTTCTTTTATTCCTTAATACTGAAAAAATGATTTTTATATATTTCTATAAAATTTGTAACAAATAAAAGTTAAAAACAGATGATCAAAAAAGTTAAAAAGATATGAAAGAATTTCTTCAATTTCTTTGCATGCACAAACCAGAGAGAGAGACAGAGAACAAGAAATCATCCCCTGGGGGAATGGCCACAGAGCAATCCCTTCACCACCATTCTCCTCTTGGGACTCTGGGTATGCACACAGATGTGCCCAGCTTAAGTTTTAAGCCACTGGGTCCAGGACTCAAACTGCAGTCAACTATATGGGAGTCCAGTGACATAACCATTACACCATCTGCTGGTCCCTCTTTTTTGAAGAGATATTTTTGCTATAGAGTGTGTGCACTCACCAAAGAGAGACAGAGAGCCAGAAAGTGAGAAATCATCCCCCAGTGTGGATGGCCACACCCCAATACCTTCTCCTCCATTCTCCTCTTGGGATTTTGGGCATATACGCCCATGCACCTGGCTGAATTTCAAGCCGTGGGGTCCAGGACCAGAACTGTGGTTAACTGCATGGGAGTCCAGCAACTTAACCACTATGCCATCTGTTGGTCCCAGAATTTCTTCAGTTTCTAAGATAACGTGTAAGGCCAGCAAGTGGCTTGATGATTAATAAATTTAAAAAATGCTATATTACTATCTTACCTTTTTAACTTGTAAAGATTCCTTTTTTCTCTCCAATCTCTCTTTCTTCTTCTGTTCCTGTAAGATAATTTTTCTTACTGTCACATATAGGAAATGCAATGTAATAGGTTGTTGGAAAAGTCATGACGTATTTTCTATTTTTTTCTTCTATGCAAATATGAGTCACTACTTTTTTAGCAACCCAATATAAAACATTACATCTCAACTCTCTGATATAACTTACGCTTACAATAAAGAAACTATATAATTTAAAACTGTATTTCAAACCTTTATGAAGCAACAGTGAACAGATTTACCCTACATACTTAAACAACTAAAGCCCAACCAAAATATTTTAAACAACAGTTCACAGACAACACAAAGCAAAGGACAGTGAACACGGACAAGAGAAATCAATGAGGTAAATCTGATTTTACCTCAACTTACTCTCCGAAAGCAATTTCTGAGTACAAATAATAGAGAACCCAAAAACAACCCAACAGTCTTTCTGAGTTGAAGAGACAGAATCAAAAGGTATTGAGGCTATCATTCTCAAAGTACCTGAGAAAACAGTTGTACAATGAAAGCTGCAATCTCTCAAGTCGTCAGAATGAGTAAAAACAAGAAAATCAAAACAGAGGGGAAAAAAAAACTACCAGAAGCAAGTAGAACAATGCCCAATGTGCACAAGGGCTCATAAATAAAGAATAGTTCATATTTTCTCAACCAAAGTAAAAAGTCCTAATACACAGGGCATCGGGTACTCTGACAAGGGGCCAAGTTATTCCTAGGGTAACGGATGTTCCAGGCATTCCACTAACAAATTTTAAATGCAAAACATAAAGTGATTGAAATCATTTCCAAGAGATAGTTATAAGGTATATATGCCTTATAACTCATTAAGCTAGACTGTTTTGCTTTCTATTTCACCATGAGAAGATTTAAATAAAAAGGGCTTCAGGGGCCAGCTTGTGGCCTCATGGTAAGGTAAAGGCAGCTGGATTCCACATGGCAGACTGTGAAGTTTGAGTCACAGACATGGTGTACTGAAAAACATGCTGGGCACATGTTCTCAAAATCCCAAAAGAACAGAGAAGGAACTGCATGCATCTACCTTGGCAGAGAGGGTGCTATCTCACCCTTTTACGATCCCTCATCTTTCTCCAGCAAATACTTGCAAACTCTGGCAAATTGATTTCTAAAAATTAAAAAATAAAAACCGGGACCAGCAGATTACGTTAATGGTTACATTACTGGACTGCCACATAGTTGACCATGGTTTGAGTCCTGGACCTGGTGGCTTAAAACTGACATCCAGTATGTATGCATGTATTCCCAAGACCCTGAAAGGAGATTGGAGAAAGGATTGCAACGTGGCCATCCTCCCCCGGGGAGGGGGGTGTGTGTGTGTGTGTTAATTCTTGTTCTCTGTCTCTGGCAAACACAAGCACCCTGTCGCAAAAATCTCTCAAAACAAAAAAAGAGAAAGCTTTAAACAAAGGAAAAGGGGGATCTGGCTAATTATTAAACATGAGTGATGAAGCAAAAACTTTATTGTATTCCCCTCAAATTGTACAAGTTTTAAAATCATATAGTCTAGTGGAAAGGCAATAAACAATAAATAAATGATATGCCAGGTAATAAATGCAATGAAAAGAGCAGAGTTAAAAAGATCAAAATTGTTGGCAATTTTAAGGCTGCTAGGGTAGACCTCAGTAAAACATTTCAGCCACCGATTAAAGATAAAGTAAGCTCCAGGCAGAAAACAGCTAGTACAAAGTCCCAAACGCAGAAAATACACCTGAAAAAAATGTGAAAGGTAATGGGATTCAAGGATGCAACTAAATTGCATACAGTCTAATAAGTATTATAATTTCAACTTGTCATAAACTACATAAGCTAAAAGGCAGTGAAAAACATTTAGAAAAAATGTACTGAAGAAAAACAAATAACCAACACAAAATGCAAAATAATCTACAGTAAGAGAAAATTGGTAAGTGGCTACCTGGGGATAGAAGACTGCGAAGAGATGGAGGCAAAGAATTAAAAACAGGCAAAAAGAACCATTTGGGGGTGATAGTTTATGTTCATTATCATGATTGTTTTAATTTCATGGGTATGTTTATATTTCAAAATTTACAAAGTTGTACGTTTTAAACATGTGCAATTTAGTATTCAATAGTGCTATTTATAAAAAAAGAACCACTATCAACAACATAAAAATTCAGTTTCCAGCAGCAACCCTAATAACTAAATGAGGTGAAAATCAGTAAACAGGTGAACAGATAACTGGTGCTACATTCATATAATAGAATGCTTTTTAGGAATAAAAGAATGACCTAGTGATTAACAAAAAGCGAGTAAATCTCAAAAATATGCTGAGAGACCAGCAGATGGTATAATAGTTACATCACTGGACTCCCACGTAGTAAACCATGGTTCAAATCCTGGACCAGGTGGCTCAAAACTCAAGCCGTGGTGTGTGTGTGTGTGTGTGTGTGTGTTTGTGCACGTGCTCATGTGTGTGCAATCTTAAAATCCAAGAGGAGAATGGAGAAGGGATTGTGGCATGGCCATCCCTCCTGGAGGGTGATTTCTTGGTTTCTGTCTCTCTGGCAAGCGCATGTGCCCTATAGGAAAAATACCTCTCTTAAAAAAAAAAAAAAAAATTGCCAAGCGGGGTTAGCAGATGTTGTAGCAGTTATATAGCTGGACTCTCACATAGGTGACCACAGCATGAGTCCCAGACCTGGTGGCTTGAAGGTCATAATCTGCATGTGTGTGTACATGCCCCAGATTTGGGGGAATGGAGGAGAAAGGACTGTGGCATGGCCATCCCCTGGGGGGTGGAAGTGATTACTCAATTTCACTCTTACAGCCTCCATCTCTCTTGGCCCATGCACATGCCCTAAGACAAAAATCTCTTTAAAAAAAAAAAAAAAAGCTGAGTAAGAAAAAAAAAAAGGCTGAGTAACACATGATTCTTTCATATATATAATATTCTAGGAAAAGCAATACTAATCTAAAGTTTAACATTACCAGGGCCAGGATGATACAAAATAACTTTTTAGGGTGATGGAAGTGAACTTTATCTTCATTGTACTGGAGGTCACACATGTTTATATACTTACTACTTAAACTTCAGGAAACTGTAGCCCAGTCAAGGTAGCACAAGCAGTGGAGCACTGCTGTGTAATACTGGAGCCATAAGGAAGGCTCTAGGTGTAGATCCCAGGCTGATATAGGCATACTCATGATTTTAGGGGACTGAGTAGGAGGACTTATCACAGGATGGTGAGACTGTCAAGAGTGTCTCTCTGATGAAAGAAACTTAAAGAAAAAATACATCAAACTATAAACTTAAGACCTATGTATATTATATGTAATTTATACTTCAGTAAAGCTGTTTTAAAAAATATTTTTAAGCTATTAACTATACTCAATCTCATATACATACATACCTCTAACTGTTGCTGTTCCATTTTAGTCAATAAAAATTTGGAGTAGATATTGCTTTTTTCAAGCAAATGTTGAAGTCTACGGTACCGAATTTCTGTGGACTCTCTATCCCAAGACATGCGAGCCTATCCAAAGAGAAAATTTCCATAAATTACATAAGGTTTTTTTTTTACATACATTGATTTTTATGTAAGATTTAGTAAAAATGATTTTAAAATGCAATTTGGGTTTAAGATACTTCCTGTAATTAATTTTAAAAGATTCTTACAAGATTAAATTCATTTACTAATAGCGTTTCCCTCCCTCCCCAAAACAAAAGCTGGAACCAAGTAACTAAAATAAATTTTAAAAAAGGTTGTATTCAATAAACAATCTGGGAGATATAGTTTAAATATGAAAATGTTGAGGCTAGCAGTTGGCATGGTGGTTAAGGTGCTGGACTCCTACATAGGCAAAAGGGGCTTGAGTTGTGGATCTAGAGGCTTGAAAATCATGCAGGGAGAAGGGGACCAGCAGGTGGCGTGGTGGTTAAGGTGCAGGACACTCTCACATGGTCAATCATGGTTCAAGACCCAGACCTGCTGGCTTGCTTTCTCACTTTCCCTCTCTCTGGTCAAATTTAAATAAATGAATGAATAAATTTAACAAATTAAATAATTCTTTTTTCTTTTTCTGGAGAGGCTTTTTTGCTATAGGGCAGGGCACGTGCGCTCGCCAGACAGACAGAGACAGAAAGCAGGAAATCACCCCCCAGGGGGGATGGCCAAGCCGTAATCCCTTCTCCTTCATTCTCCTCTCAGGATCTTGGGCACGCACGCACACGCGCCCGGCGTGAGTTTAAGCCACCGGGTCTGGGACTCGAACCGCAGATGACTACGTGGGAGTCCAGCGACATAGCCATTACGCTAACTGCTGGTCCCAAATTAAATAATTCTTAAAAAAAAAAAAAAATCATGCAGGGCGCCTTTGCACGCCTGCCCAAGGGACTATTGTGGCCATCCCCTCTGGGAGATGATTTCTCATTTTCTTTGTCTCTCTCTGGTAAGCACATACATCCTATGTCAAAAACCTGGGGAGGTTTTAGACACACACACACACAGTTTAATTTAAATATAGCTGCCTTAAATCCTTTTCAGAATAAATTACCATACATTTAAGATGCCATCATAAAATAACTAATATAATTAAAGCAATATAATGTCCACAGCTAACTTTAAATCCAGTCTTCTGTATTTCAAACTTTTTTTTTCCTTCAGTAAATCTTCCCAGCTATCATTACTCTTTCTTGATTTAGCAATTTCAGTATTTGTTATATTAGAGTAAACTGCAGTTCCATCTGTGGAAAAGTACTGAGTACCTAGCTGGAAGCATCTCTTAGTGGCAAGAGTGCAAGAATATGCCAATGGACAATGAGGGGATAAAATTCCCCATAGTGTACCCTATCTCTCTCAACACCACCTCAGATTTTGTTTTTTGGGGGGATATTTCTATTTCAGTGTATATAACTGAAACCTCCTTTTACCACTCCAAGAAATTTCCAACTCCAACCTATCCCCTCCCCCACTGCTAGGCAAGGATGCTGCTCTTAAGACTAACAATGACTTCTTTTAAAAGAAAACGCATATGAAAAGTTAAAGAAAATTACTGCAGTAAAGGAAGGCCAAAGTCATTCTCCAGACTTTTTACACAAATCTTATTATCTCCGAAAGTAAATGCTTCTCATTAAGAAACTTAAAATAGTTCTTCCTCTCTTCAAGTACTTCTAAGCACATGTCTATGAATACTATATTCTCTCCAAGGAAAAGGAATCTTTACTTATTTGAATCTCAAAACAGGCAATATTTCCTTAAGAAACAAAATGAGAAAAAAAAAAAAGTACCTTTAGTGTGTAATAAAGTACTATGAAAATTCAGAGAGTGAGGAAAAGAGATCCAAAGCAGACCTCCCAATTCTATTAATTCACATTTTCTCTGATGATCTCCTGAGAGGCTTAGTGGCTAAGGACAGGGACTTTGGAGACAGCCCCAGTTTGAAATTGACTACAAAACTTACTGTGTGGTCACTGCCCCAGTTTCTTCATTTGTAAACGGGGATAATAAAAAGAGCTATATCATCATGATACAGGTAGGGCTAAATAAGTTAACACAAGAAAGTCACTTAATAGGCAGTACATTAAGAGCTGGCTATCATTCTTTTTTTTTTTTTCATATGTAAAAATTAAGCAGCACAGTGGAAATTTAGAATACACTTAATTTTCCCAGAGGTTAAAACTGCTTTTAATAATCTACAAAACAGATTTCTATATAAGAAAACAAGTACAATCTTATTAAAAAGGCACACATTTTTAGCTAAAGAATCCTAGGAAGCAATAGACAGCCCAAGAAACCTACAGAACAAAACAAAATCCAAGTTGATAACTTAGGTGGTAAACAGTACTAAACTGGAAGGAAATGATAAGACCTGGATTTCAGCCCAGCCTTTGATGCTCCTACTGCCCTCAATCCAGTGCATTATTACCACAAGTTTAAAAGATTAATGTTTGCCATCAGGTATACATTTCAGGCACTAATTTAAAAAGGAAATAGAGATGACAGAGGAAATAACTCACTACCGACTTTGAAAGAATTACAATGGTTAAACAAGCAATCGTTTGAAACTCTCGCTTAAAAGAGATCAGAGGACGAGGTATCCCAAGACCCCATCTCACAGAAGCATGTCACTCAAAGCCCATGCAAGTTTACTCAGAGGTAGCATCTGTAAACACGAAACCTGACGGAAAGACGTTTGAAGGTGTATGACAAGGCGGACTGAACAGTCAAGCTCAGAGCACAAGGCACCCCTCCGGGGGAGCATCACAATGTTAGCCCGGGCTATGAAGACGACGGACGCGGGTTCTAACTCACCTTTTCCAGCATCTTCCGCTCTCTCTCAAGCCCAGCTGCCTCAAGCTGTTCTTCCTCTTCTAGCATGGCTGGGGTGATCACGGCAGTCTCCGGTTGTTCAACCATTTCTGGAGCTAGAGACCCCCAGGGAGTGAAGCTTTTACCTCCAAAGAACCAACCACTCAGCTCCGACATTACCTCAGCCTCCTCCCTTCCGAGGGGCACTGAGGCCGGGGGAAGCCCCGAGTCCCGCCGGCATCACCTCAGACAGCCTCTGTTTCCACAGCGTCCGCAGGCTGCCCGCACCCCCGCTTACTAATCACCGGCAAGTGCCCGCAAACGCCACCTCCTGTGGAAAACCTACATCGTGCAAACACGTGCGAATCCGGGCTGTCCTCTCCGCAGCTCCTCGCTCTCCCGGCCTCCTCACACCCTGCCGGGGCTGCCTCCCTGCCCGCCGCCCCGCCGCAGCCTCCATGCTGCCCACGCCCGCCGCCCGCGCCCGCAGAAGGTTCTTCTCCGCACTCACCGCCGCTGCTCGCGGGCCGCTCTGCCGGCATGGCTGGACTCCCAGGGACTCAGGCCCGCCTCCTCTCAGCGCCTGCACAGCCGCACGCCAAAGCCCTCACGGCCGCGGCAGACGCAGCCTTCTCGCCCAAGACCAAGTCAGTGAAAAACGCGCGATTCTCCTTCGCGGGAAAACTCCGTCTTCTCGCGATATCTTGTGCTCCCCGCCCGCTCGCCGGCAGAGCGACGCGAGATTTGGTGCGCGGTGTGGTTTGGGTCTGGGCCGACCGCGGCCAGCGCGAGCGTTTACCTGGACCTGGATCTGGGGAGACCCGACGGTGCTGCGGCGTTTCGCCCTCTACCGTTCCGCACGACGTGGTGACGGTTCCGGAGTACGCAAGCTCAGTAGCGCCCCGAGCACCTGGCAGGCCACCGGCACGCTGGCTGAAGCGACGGCCCGCACCGCGGTGACTTAACCGGAGGCGGGTGCGTCTCGGAGGTGGCCGCCGGAAAGCCACACGTCCGCCCTCGCCCGCCGTGCGCAGCCCACGTTTTGAGTAAAAGTCTACCCATTTGGCCGAGAGGAGGGCTCGTTTGTGGATAGGAGAGAGAAGAAACGGGAAATGAGTTTACGACAGGGTTCAAGGAACAGTTTAAGACGAGCGTTGAAAACAGGGTTAAATGGAGCAGAGTGCCCAGCAGAAGGGACAAGCTTCAGGAATAAAAAGAACAATTTCTAGAGTCAGGTCCTGAACGGAGGGTCAGTGCTTTTCCTGTGGCTGTTTTTCACTTCAGTTTTGAACCCTACCTTTTTTACCCCCCTACTCTCCAGGCCAATTTCTCAGGGTTTTTCTGTCAAGTTTTTGTCATAGGATGTGTGCACGCAGACACGGAGAAAGGGAAAGGGGAGTCAGCCCCAAGGGGCGTGGCGCAGGCCATGCAATCCTTTCTCCATTCGGGATCTTGAGCTCACAGGCCCTGGGTGATACTCAAGCCACTGGGTCCGGGGCCTGAACTGCGATCGCCACGTGGGAATTCAGCACCTTCCCCATGCTATGTGCTGGCCCAGTTTTTCAGAATTTATGGCACACACAATACATAATCAACCTGTTTCCTTCGTTCTGACTGGGAAAACTCTGATACATTCTAGAGTTTACTATGCACATCCATCATAACCACCTTCAGCAGCCCTCATAACACTCTAAGAGAGCAGATCATTTTTTTGGTTTAGATTTATTTATTTATTATTTAGCTACGCAAACGAGAGAGAGAGAGAGAGAGAAAGCAAACTGCCAGGTCAGGGGTCAGCCATGTGGGAGTCCAGCACCTTAAGCACCACATCACCTGCTGACCTCAAAGAGATTATTTTTATTCCTACTCTATAGGTGACAAAACTGATGCTCCCTAGCACAGTGATGTAATCAATGACCCCACATTGCTAAACTTAATGGACCACTCAGTTCTATCTTCCCCTCGCTGCCATAAACGCTGTTTATCACTTTTATCTTCTTTTTTTTTTTCCTTTGGAGAGGTTTTTGTTATAGGTATGGGCACTTGCCAGAAAGACACAGAGAGACAGAAAGCAAGAAATCACCCCCCAGGGGGAATGGCCACGCTGCAATCCCTTCTCCACTCTCCTCTTGGGATCTTGGCCATGTACACACCCATACCCAGCATGAGTTTAAGCCACCGAGCCCAGGACTCCCACCGTGGTCACCTACGTGGGAGTCCAGCAACATAGCCTTTACGTTAACTGCTGGCCCTTGTTTATCACTTATTTATGGAAAACATTCTTGTCCCTTGTCTTTCCTGACCCCCCACTCTCCTAATATTCCAGCTTCTGACCTCTACTGGTTCATTCTCTTCTACCCAATCTTTAAATACTTAAGTTTTTGACTGAGTCAAAAATCATTTGTTTCTGGCCAATTGTAATTTAAATAAAAGATAAGTTCAGTGAGGAGGGGACTCCCTCCTATCCAAAAAAATAATCCAGTCACCTGTATTTATTGTAGATAGTAGAACTACCTTTAAACAAAAATAAACAAAAAACCCTGCCATCCACTGACCATTTAAATTACTACATATTGCTTGTAAACCAGGTTTAAGGAACAGTACATTATTTCAGCTGCCAGCACTACCGGTCTCGAATGACAAAAGGTCTAATGCACCCCTTGGAAGAGAAATCTGGCCAAAAAGTAATTCCTTTTTTTCTTCATATTTGACTAAATGAGATATCCCCCAGGAATGAAGACTCATTTCAAATAATTACTCGGCTTATAAGTTTTATTTACATAGTAACTGTTATGAGTGGTTTTTAGTGAATTTCTTATATTTACATTTTATATACACATTTATACTTGAAAGGTAAAGAAACTGTACAATAAAAAATAACAAAAGGAAATATAGTAAATTAGTTCCAACTCAAGAAATGAATACATAAAAATAAAATTAAATTTAGGCAGGTAGTATAACCTCAAAGAGATTACTGCCAGAGGTTACATTCCCTCTATCAGGGGCACCAATACCAAGGAAGTAGTTACCAGAGTTATAAGGTTGTCCTAAACCCTATTAAGACCCTGGATACTCCCTTACTATTTATTACACTACCAGTTTCCACTAATCAAGCCCCTTCACAGAGTTAATTCCAAAGGTTCCACTACTAGCCCTTAGGCTAGAATGACCCATAGGGTAAAAATATATGGGCACCCTCTGGTCCCCCATACTCCTAACGAGGCAGTCACTACACTAACAAGGCTCTCAGGCTTGTTAGTTTGAAGACTATATACCACTAACAGAAATAGTGTGCTTAAGTGTTGTTTCAAACCAAACTGCAACATAAAAACACACTATAAGTCTAATTACTAATCAAATAGTGTGTTCTATATAGGTATAACTCATAATACTCAAAGTGATGTGTTTAGATTCAAAAATTAAAACAAATACAATAAATTTAATGTCAATTTATCAATGATTAAGGATGATTTGATCCACAATGCCAGCAAAGTTAGACTAAAACAAAATTAATTTGACCTCCTTTACTCTATTTCCACTTATTAGTAAAAATTATGCATAGTGCTTTAGAAGTCATAGGCTTAGCCATATATTAAGATTTCAAATTTCAAACTGGAATTACCAAATTTTGTTTTCATAGATGGTGGAGGAATTTTAACTAAAAAACTTAAAATCTTGCCAAGTGGCATACTATCTAAGACTCTTAGGGTTTATTACTTTTTACTCCTACCAGTGAAAAACTTCATTTTTCTCTTTGGACTTACTCCCAAAGTCAAGTCTTTAGTCCACTAAAGTGCAAAGAACTTTTTTCTACTAGTTATTTACTAAATTACTAGATGAACAGTTAGACTAGAAACAGAAAGGCTAAAATTCTTTTGAGTAATAGGAATTCCTTAAGGAAGAGAAAGAATTTCCCTTCAAAAACAAATAGACATGACAGACAGGATACTGTGGAAAACACTTAAACAAACAATAAACAATCTCCCAATATACGTAGTTACCAGATAACCCACATCTGCCCTAACCTGTAAATGACAATAAACAATATCTTCAGTGACAAGTGATTTATAACTAAAGTTGCTTATTCTTGGTCTACAACATCTTCAAAGGTCAAAACTGGAGATATCATCTGTATTATAATATTTTGGAGGTCAAAGTAATATTTAACAATTCTACTCTGACCCCAAAGTGCCTCTGTGATAATTATTAAAAAATAAAAGATGTAAAAATTTGAAATCTCCAAATTTATTTTAAAAATTTATTGCATTAAATTGTTCACTCCAAATTATGGAGTATGAACTAGCCATTTCAACTTTTTCCATGGAAAAATGGCTCTCCCTATAAAATATTTTTCATTAATACTGTCAATAAGTTATTTATTTCAGTCATGAACTTTAAAATGAGCAGTATTCGCCTCTTGATTCTTTCATATTTCTCCAACATTTTCTTCCATGCTTTTTATGTAGGAAACAAAAAACTGTTCTCCAAAAAAACATTCTTTAAATTTAGTCTTAATTTTGAAGATTAGCTTTTCAGAGCAGGACTATTGTTCTTGTCTCCTTCTTTAATATCCTTCATTACAGATGCAAAGACCTGGAAATTATATAAAATAAATATTAATCTTCAAAAACTAAGAGATTTAAATATCTATAGTTTATAAGCATGAATAAGCTTTAGTATACTTAATTCTCCCCTGGCAGACTGCCATTCTCAAATTATCTTGTTTTATTAAATTTAATTTTATAGAACATGATTAGATTACAGTTTTCATTGATTGCCAAGTATTCTGAATTATTATTTGGTAACAGTGTTTTCTGGTCCAATATTCTGACATTTAATTTTTTAAGCAATAAAACTAAATTTAAAATGCCGATTGTCTGTATCATTCAAGAATCAAGAGACAATGCTGTATTTTATGTCACCTAACATCCTTCCTAGTATGTTTGTTTTCCTAACAAGACTAGCATCTGGAGCCAGCCAGTGACATGGTGGTTAAGGCACTGGATCCCATGTGAACAATTGCACAGTTTAAGTCCCAGACCCTACAGCTTGGGAAACATGTGGGACACATGTGCATGCGTGCCCAAAATCCCAACAGGAGGGAAAAAATGGAGATGGGATTGTGGCATGACCAACCCCCATGGTGGGTGCTTTCTCACTTTCTCTCTTTCTATCTCAAAGTACATGTACCCTCTGGCAAAGTTTTAAGAAAAACACTAACCATAATGCCAGGATCATATGTTTTTACTATTGTAAACCCTTAGCACACAGCAGGTGTTTAACAAAATCATTATCTATTTAAAATGCCAAAGGAACTAAATAACTGCTCTGGCAAATAAATGACTATTGTAAGTTGTACTTCACAAAATTCAAAAAATATCACTGGACTTATATAAAAAGACCCGGGGTTTAGATAGGTGAAAAAGCAACAATCTGTTTTCAACTCATTCTTCAAAACCAAAAAGTATTCTTAAAAGATATGTACTTTTTAACTTAAATACTAAATTTGAGAAATATGTCATTTTTTTTTCACAAACTCAATTGATTATTTTAATATGGCAACTAGAGGTAGCAAAATGTCACTCTACCTGAGTCCATTTTTTGGTGCTATTCTGCATCTGAATGGCTGCAATGCAGCTGAACAGTTTTTCTGATGTGATATCTTCTGGCAATTTAGTGAGAAACTGTGCTATATGAATAAAGTCCATCTGTAGAAGAATATCTTCATATAATCGGAGGATTCCTAATCCAGTCCTAAATAAAAACTCCTCCCCATCTCTGCAGAATACATCCCAGACTCGACAGGCCAGATCAAGCGGGAGTGATTTGCTATATAGTGTGAAGATCCTAAAATTAGGGGAGAAAATAGTCATCACATTTTTTTTCCATTCATTGATTTAATCACTTATCAAATATTTCTATAAAAACAAATACTGTTTTAATTACAGATTTATTTTTTAAGAATTGTTTTTTATGTTATTTGTTATTATTATTTTTTAAATTTGACCAGAGGGAGGGAGACATAGAGAAAGGGAAAGCGAGAAAGCAAGCTGCCATATCCAGGACTTGAACCTCAGTCAGCCATGTGGGAGTCCAGCATCGTAACCACCATGCCACCAGCCAGATTTAAAAGGCAAATATGGAGCTGGCCTTTTAGCAGAGTGGCTAAGGCACTATATATAGGGAGCTGGGTCCCACATGGCCAGTACAGTTCAAATCTGGTACTGCTGGTTGAAAAACACACTGGGTGCATATGTGCGTGTGCCCCAAATCCTGGCCAGATGTGTGGGGGGAAGGATTGTGGTGTGACCACATCCCCCTGGGGTGAGGGGGTGCTTTTCTCTCTTCCTCTCTGGCAAGCACACATGACCTCTTACAATATTTTTAAAAGGGCAAGTATTGCTTCTTCCCTTAAACTTCAGTAGTGGGAAACTGAGTAATAAACAAGGAAATTATGTGAATTTGCAACCTTACATAGAGATATAACTTAATACAAACTAGAGTAGGAGAATAGTTTAATGGTTAAGAGTTTAGATTCTGAAGCCAGAATGCCTGAATTTGAATCTTAAATTTTAAACTTATTAGTTGTGCTTTCTTGAGTAACATACTTACACAGACATCCATTGTTTCATTTGTGTACACTTTCAGCAGAATCACCAATATGGTTTTTCCCATCCTTTCTAACAATGTCTGACTGTGATTCTTTACCCAGTAGTTCTCTGGGTGACATTCAGATAGGGGAAGTGAAGAGAGTAGATGCTAAGGACTTGCCTTGATGTTGCTTGGCAAATAAAGTACACAATTTTAAAAATAAGGTTTGTGCATTTATTTAAGGTAGTGTTGGTAGAATTAATGAAGGGAGCTAAAGGTTCTCTGCCAAAACAAACAAACCTTGTAGCACTGCCACTTAATTCCCTCCTTTCTTACAAAAAGATTCTGGATTTGTATGTAATAAGCTCAAGAGAGAGAGAGTGAAATGAAAGTCCACCTTGCCTTCTTAAACTATAGATACACTATTGGTAGTCAAAGACTACTAACTCACTGTTCAATGAGAACTGGTAAGGACAGCTAGGCACAATTTCTTGCACACAGCACTCATTCATCATTATTTTTAGCCTGTTTCCTATATCAGTTATGATCCTGACATAGCTTGTATTCACATTCCTCAGTGCTGACCACTAAGGGTTTTGTTTTGCTTTGTTTTTTTTTTTAAGAGAGATTTTTGCTATAGGTGCATGCAGTTGCCAGAGAGATGGAGAGACAGAGAGACAAAAAGCAAAAAACCACCTGCCTCCCCAGGGGAGAAGGTCACCCCGCAATCTCTTCTCCTCCATTCTCCTCTTGGGATTTTGGGCACGCACACACACGCCTGGCGTGAGTTTTTTTTTAAGCCTCCAGATCCAGGACTCAAACTGCAGTCAACTACATGGAGTCTAGCAACATAACCATTACGCCATCTGCTGGTCCCCACTAAGGATTTTTTTCCTCGATTCCTCACAGAACTATTATTTGATCTTGGCTCTTTGGATCTCATGACATAAAACCTTCTTTCTCCTCATTATCTTGGGTCCTTCTCAAAGGAACTCTAATATTCTTAGTGGGGATGAAAGAGAACACATTGAAAAATAACTTACTTTTAAAGAAAACTTGAATAAAATAAGGCCCAAACAACTGGGAAGACATCATATTTGGTCAATACCATTTTTTTTTAATACTAAAGTTCAATTTCATTTATATTAAACCCACTGGGTTTTGAACAATTGAGACTTAAAAGATCAAATATTCCATATATACTTTTTTAGGGAGTTTTTTTTTTATTTTTAATTAATTTTACATTCATTCACTGCACAGTCACAGCCTACAAAATGTGATTTCCCATCCAGAATATACTGCATAGTAGCTTAATCATACATACCATCGTTGATAATTTTCCATTTCTAGTTTCATACACACACACGCACACGCACACACACACACACACACACACACACACACATATTTCCCCCCATTTCTCATATGATATATATATATTACACACACACACGTATTTTCCCCCTATTTCTCACCCTCTACCATTTCCCACCCTCCTCCCACACGATCTCTGGTGTCTACACCTGTTTTCCATTCCTCTTTCCCCCTACATTTTATTGATTCACACAATTTCTTAAATAATCTAAATACTTTCAATAGCAAGTTCAGCTGGTATATACATATCTGTGAATACATGTCTGATACATGTCTGACTTTAGGCATGAAATTCTGAGTATAATGAATATACTATAAAGTAGCACCTAGCTGATACTATATAGCTTACTGTGGTTATTAAATAGGCATTTTTTAATTTCAAGAAAAGCATTTTTACCTTTAATAAATCAAAATCAAAGAAATGCTAAGAGAGCTTTGCTTAAGACTTAAAGCCAGGAAACAGGTTAGGATTCTGTTCACATAGTAGGTATATGAACCTATTGGCAGCTCAAGACAAGATAAAAATCCTTAAATCCGGAAAACAAGTATAGAAGAAAATCAGTAATGTTTTAGTCAAAAGTCCTAATATTCTATTTCACCAGTTCAGTCTCATGTACTTAATCTGTCTTCTGTTGTGGTCCAATATTACTGATTAAATTCTGGGATATAACATTCAACTCCAGGCTTGTTCCTACCATTAAGTTGGCCATTTTCTCAGTTGTTTTTGAACTCTTATTTCTGTGTGTTTGTATTTAGTTCTCCTGGTATAGCACTGCCTTCAGAACTTCTTGGAAAGTTGGTATACGGTATTGGTAAATTCTTTAGGTTTTGTTTATCTGAGAATGTCCTTGTCTTTTCTTCCCATATGAAGGATAATCTTGCCAGGTACAGTATTCTTGGTTGAAATTGCTTTCCCTTAACACTTTGAATATATTTTCCCTTTCCTTGCTCGCATTGTTTCCCATTGTGAACCTGATGGGATATATCCTTTGTAGGTAACTTGGTATTTCTCTCTTGCCAATCTTAGTACCTTGTCTTTGTCTGTAGTTTTGGTCAATCTGGCTATAATGTGTCTTGGAGAAGATCTTGGGCTGATTCTATTTGGAGTCCTTTGTAATTCTTGGATCTGGATCTTCAAATGCCTCTCTGGGTTGTTAAGTTCTCTTTCAGGAATAGATGCCCTTATGAGTCTCTTTGCCTTCTGGAATACCAACTATCAAATGTTTGGACATTTGATAGTATCTAGTATTTCTCATGTATTATTCTCATTTTTTTTTCAATTTTCTCAGTCTTTGTGGTAGATTTTTCTAAGCCAATGATTCTATCTTCTACAGCTGAGATTAGATTTTCTGTATGATCTAGTCTGCTTTTAATATTTTCAAGGGAGGTTTTGAGTTCCTGTTTTATAGCCTTCTCTAACAATTCCATCTGATTCTTTTTATTGTGTATATTTCCTCTTTCAGATCTTGCAAGAACTTCCTCACCTCCTGGAACTCGTGAGCTCCTTTCTCCTGCCTCTTCTGCAGTTCATTTTCTCTCTTCTCTTTCATCTTTGTTAGCTTTGTCACTATGAATATTCTAAATTCTTTATCTGACATTTTCGTGAGTTCCACTGTACCATCTGAGGATGAAGAGGAGTTATTCTTTTCCCTTGGAGGAGAGGTATTTTCTTGCTTTCTCATATTTCTTGTGAGCCTGCAGTGATTTCTATTCATCTGACGGATTGTGCATTTCTTCCTAAATCTTCAAGTTCAATCTGAGCATTCAGAGACGTGCAGGAGGAGGTGATCCACAATCTCTCTTCCGGTCCGTTTTTCACCCTTTCTGCATCAGATTCAGTGGGAATTGAGGAATATTCTGATCCTAATCATATTCAGATGTTTGGATACTGCTCACTTTGATCTGTCTAGACACTCAGTGCATTGAGGCTGAGCAGCCAAGGAATGAAGTTAAAGGAAAAGAATTAGAGAAGAGGAAAGAAGAAAAAAGGAAAATGAAGGGAAAAAGGCAATAAAAATATTTATATTTTAATTTTAATTTTAAAAAGCAAAAATGAAAACCACATTTCACATGTGTGTCACGTAAAAGCAATATTTTTGGGGGGATGGGGACACTCAGTGCATTGAGGCTGAGCAGCCAAGGAATGAAGTTAAAGGAAAAGAATTAGAGAAGAGGAAAGAAGAAAAAAGGAAAATGAAGGGAAAAAGGCAATAAAAATATTTATATTTTAATTTTAATTTTAAAAAGCAAAAATGAAAACCACATTTCACATGTGTGTCACGTAAAAGCAATATTTTTGGGGGGATGGGGAGGTTTTTTTGTTTTGTTTTGTTTTTGTTTTTTTTGCTATAGGGTGCCTGCACTAGCCAGAAAGACACAGAGACAGAAAGCGAGAAATCACCCCCCCAGGGGGGATGGCCATGCCACAATCCCTTCTCCTCCATTCTCCTCTCTGGATTTTGGGCACCCACACACGCACACATGCCCAGCGTGAGTTTAAGCCACCAGGTCCAGGACTCAAAAACTACAGTCGACTACATGGGAGTCCAGTGACATAGCCATTAAGTCAACTGCTGGTCCCCAAAAGTAGTATTTCATAGCTGAGGGCCTGGCTTTGTGCCTTTCCTAAATGGGAGGGGCAAAGGCAAAAATTAGCATGATAAAGGAGGGGCTTGAGAGCCCAGAGAATACTTTACCTTAAAAAAAAAAAAAAAAAAGACATGGACACAGAGAGACAGAAAGACAGAGAAGAATACAGCGGTAGCCCTACCCACTAGAAATGAATGGAGGGAGAAGTCTCAGCAGAGTATCCTCATTTTTAGTCCCTGAAAGCAGTATTTCACAGCTCAAGTTCAGTAGCCATCTCAGGATGGGTCTGGGTTTGTTCCTTTCCCACTAGAAATGAATATGGAGGGAGAAGTCCCAGCAGAGTATCTTCATTTCTAGGCCCTGAGAGCAATATTTCACAGCTCAAGTTTAGTAGCCATCTCAGCTTTTTAGGGAGGTTTTTGCTATAGGGTATGTGTGCTTACTAGAGAGACAGAAGACAGAATGTGATAAATTACCCCCCAGAGGGGAGATGGCCACGCCACAATCCATTCTCCTCTTGGAATTTTGGACATGCACGCACACATACCCAGTGTGAGTTTTAAGCCACCGGGTCCAGGACTCAAACTGCCGTCGACTACATAGGAGTTCGATGTAAACATTACACCATCTGCTGGTCCCAATTCCATATATACTATTAATAACCTATCTTACAATCAGCTGCTTCAGCTCTTTGGCAAAATTTACCAACCATTCTATAATCAACTAACTAGTGCTTGCCAGGCAAATCCTCCAAGTTAAGAGACATCTTGGATTGGAAGGATGAGGAAAGACATTTAACACTTAAGTAAGGCATCATTTTGATGCTGGATAAAGCCTTGAAACACACAAAGCCCTCAGGAAAGAAATACCATTATAACTATCACAAGCCCTTGTATATTAAAAACAATAAAGGAATAGCAACTAAACTTCTGAGAGCTTAGTACTGTTAGGCACTGAATGAGATAATCCATATAAAATATCCTCACAACAACTCAAGATACAATATATGTGTGTGTGTGTGTGTGAATACACTTTATTCCCACTTTATAAACCGAAATGCCTTCACTACAACTCAAGATATAGATACTATATGTAGTTATTCCCATTTTATAAACTAAAACACAAATGGAAAGATTTTGATTTCGACCCAGAGTCCATGCTCTTAATCAAACACACCTGCACAGAGATGCAGAAGTTTCCCTGTTTATAGGGGAAGGTTCTTCATATGTACTTTCCTTTGTGTGAGATTTACTCTACTTCCTAATGCTTGAAAAGTTATACTTCCTTTTCATTATTATATGTTATGACTTACCAGTCTATCAAATATATATCTGGTGTAAGACTGTAAGACTTGAAATGAAGAAATAATTTGGAGAGATTTTCTTCAAAGAATACTTCAAATGTTGCAAAATACTTCAGCATCTACAGATAGAAAAATCAATAAAATTATCAATGAGTATACTCTAGATACAGAGAAAACCTTAAAACATCAATAGACAATCCTATTATTAGCACTTTTTTTCTGAGTCCTCTCACCAATCACTCATAATATTACAATTCACTGGATAGTTTATATTTTAGATCAGGCTATCTCAGTATTCTAATTACTGTTTTTCATTCTTTTATTTTGTTTTGTTTTTTAAGAGAGATTTTTGTTATAGGGCAAGTGCACTCACCAGAGAGACAGAGAGAAAGATGGAGAGACAGAAAGCAAGAAATCACCCTCTTTGGAGATGGTGAGGCTGCAATCCCTTCTCCATTCTTCTCTTGGGATCTTGGGCACACACACACACACACACATACACACACACACACACGAACCCAGCATGCGTTTCAAGACAGGGCCTGGGACTCGAACCACAGTCGACTAAGTGGGAGTCTAGCAACATAACCATTACGCCATCTGCTGGTCCCATAATTACTGTTTTTCATTTTAAGAGGGCATCAGAGTACAGAAATATGCAAAGGAGAACACAATCTACTGCAAATGAACCATACCATGCTGTGATCCACACGGAAGAAGGCCAGTTGGCATGGCTTATTCAGGAGATTGGCAAATGCAATGAAGGCATCTGCCTCTTCCAAATTGAGAATGAGTACTGCAGCAATGAAGGACATCCCTTGTACCTTCAAAGGGAAATAAATTAATCAAAATTATTTACAATAATTCTATACATTATTTACTGTACTTCTGAAACATAGTGACAATACAAGGTATAATTAACCAAGATTTCTTTTTTTTTCTCTCCTGTGAAGGTAAATACAGAAAATCCCTAACTACTATAAAATCACCCTTATTTCACATTTCTTGTCCTTGTGATGCAATCCCTCCATACTCCTCTCAGGATCTTGGGCACGCACGCACACGCGCCCGGCGTGAGTTTTAAGCCACCGGGTCCGGGACACGAACCGTGGTCGACTACGTGGGAGTCCAGCGACATAGCCATTATGCTAACTGCTGGTCCCTTTTACAGAATCTATTAATAGATTGAACATATGCCATTCATTTACACAGTTAAAAATCTAGCTGTCAGGGCCAGCAGGTGGTGTAGTCTTTAAGGTGTTAAGACTTCCACATGGCTGACCATGGTTTGTATCTGGACTTGGCACCTTAAAAATCATACCGAGCGCATGTCTGTGTGTGCCCAAAGTCCTCAGAGAAGAATGAGGAGAAGGGACTGTAGCGTGAACTGCCCTTCTAAGGGTGATTTCTCACTTTCCCTCTCACTGTCTGTCTCTCTGGAGAGTGTGCATGCCATATGGCAAAAACTTATAATAAAAGGAAGGAAAAAAGACCTATGCTGTTAAATCACATAACAAAATATATTCCATTACAGTCTGTACTAGCCTTGTTCCATAAAGTAAGTGATTTGGCTGCCTGGTTTGCCAGGGGGCCTTGATATTCCCAGGTTAGTTATATAGTGATCATAGTACATAAATTCCATAACCTAAGATCAATCTAACCTAAGATCAATCTGTATCTCCAGAGTTAAAAAAAAAAAAGTTAAAAAGATACAATATAATGGAAATGTATTCTAAAAATATCATTATCATGTGTAATAACAGTAACAGTATATTCCCAAATTTTATGAGTATATCAGGTTAATAAGGTGCCTTTAAGTGAAAGTATACCAGATATAATTATTAGATTTTTAAAAAGAATTATTTATTTATTTAATTCCATTTGTTATTATTATTATTTTATTTGTCCAAAGAGAGATAGAGAGAGAGAAAGGGAAAGTAAGAAAGCAAGCCACCAGGTCCAGGACTTGAACCACAGTTGGCCATGTGGGAGTCCAACACCTTTAACCTCCATGCCACCTGCCGGCCCAACTAGATGTTTTAATTAATCACAATATAAGATTCTCTTTTTTTTTTTTTTTTTTGGAGGTTTTCGCTATAAGGCATGTGTGCTCACCAGCCAGAGAGAGATGGAAATCAAGAAATCACCCCGAGGGAGATGGCCACGCCGCAATCCCTTCTTCTCCATTCTCCTCTCGGGATCTTGGGCATGCACGCACACGCACCTGGCATGAGTTTTAAGCCACTGGGTCCAGGACTCGAACCGCAGTCAACTACATGGGAGTCCAGCGACATAGCTATTACGCCAACTGCTGGCCCCGCAATATAAGATATTTTGAAAAGAGTATAGGTAAAATGTTGATGGTAAAGAAAAGACTGAAGTAAATACTTACATAACCAACATCAGGTCTGTAACATGTATATGCCCCTAAGATGCTATGTAAGACATCGTGATATGGGCCACCCTTCAAAAAGACAAAAAAGTGAAATTTGCAACTTTACAAATAATTGTCTCTAAGTTTATTCTTGTATAACATGTTTACAAACTGTGTATTTTGTAAACACACTAGTCTTCAGTGTATTTCATAAGTATCAAAAAACATTCTAATGTATTTTATCAAAATGTTTTCTAAATTATTAATAAAACATACTTAATTCCAAACAAAAAAAGCCAAATAAACTCAACTGATGTATATAAGCTATACAGTTTATGACAATTCTAAGGACATCTTGATTTTGCTGTTTCATATCATTTTAGCAAAAGACTATCAAGCTCTATTAAATAAAGCTGTATTAATTTTAATAAAATTTTATTTCATTTCCTTTTTATCACTCTAAAGACAGACTAATTCAATTTATAAAGACCTGAGTAAAATATGAAGCAATTTCCCTTCTCATAAAGAGCAAGTTCATAATAGCTTTGTACAAAAAAATTGAATTTCCTCCATTTCAATGGTAATCCTGAGAAATTTTAAGTTTTGGGCCAAAAATTTTTTATACTTTTTACATAAAGGTCCTCAGCTTGTATAGTTTTTTCCTTTTTAAATAGAGAATTTTTTTCCCTTGGCTATTAAAAGATTTCTTTAAAAAAAAAAAAAGTACAAGCTGGTTAGAAAAATCTTACCTTCTGAAAGATGTACAGAGATGGAAATGTACGGGATATGTCCAACTTAATTAATTCCAGACTGGCCTCTCTATCAGCAACAGAAACACCTGCATTTGTCAAGTAAATAAAATTCAAGTGATCTCTTGGCTATATAACAAGTTCAATTTCACAAACGCAGAAAGATCACATAGTACATGTATTATTTAATGAAAGTTAAAAACTGAATAATCAAGAAATTTTCAGAAATGCCACACTGCTTTTACTAGAATTTAAGAGTCCCTTATATTAAAAAATATATTAATGCATTTATCAGAAAGTTATATAGTGAAATATTCCTCCTTGCAGTTTTTATAGAAGCACCTTATCATTCCCTCAATAACATCTAGGAGAAAGAAATAATTACAAATACATTTTCTTTTTTTTTTTTTTCCTGATAGATTTTTGCTATAGGGTACGTGAGCTCAGGGGAGAGAGAGAGACAGCGAGACAGAAAGCAAGAGACTACCCCTGAGGGGAGATGGCAACACTGCAATCCCTTTTCCTCCATTCTCCTCTTGGGATTCTGGCTATGCGTGCACATGTACTCCACTTGAGTTTTAAGCCAATGGGTTCAGGATTTGAACTGCAGTTGATCATGTGGGAGTCCAGCAAAGTAACCATTCTGCCATCTGCTGGTCCCACAAGTGCCATATTTTTAAAATACCATCAGAGAGCTGTAGATATGCAGAAGTCTAAGGATTTAAATACAAAAAAGGAAGAGTCTCTCCTATGTCAGTAGATACCAGAGGCTATTTTTGTTTCTAGGGGTAATCTGCCATGGGCATAGGATCGAGTTTGCCACAGTCAAAAGTCCTCTGCTTGGAGATAAGAGAAATCAAGAACTTTTCATGGCTAAATAAGACTTATGTTACAGATAAGCATTTGGAAGAGCTCTCAATGTATATCTGGCTTTCCCCTATACAAATTTTGCCGATTAAGGTCATCACCCTGTAAAGGCAGAAATGAAATCAGTCAAAAATCATAGCATTCTTGGGAAATTGTCTCACTGAAGGCAGAAATTTGTAATCAAAAGAAGACAGTTCTACCCACCATGAAATCTGAAATCCAAGATGAAATACATCTATCTGAAGCTGAAACCATGCCCTGGCATAGCTCAATTATTGACTGAATTCAAGTGATACACCCAAACCATTATCCAACAGGAAAGAGTATGCTTCCTCTGCAGGAGAAACATCAGCATTTTTTTTTTTTTGAGAGGGTTTTGCTATAGGGCGCATTCACTCACTAGAAAGAGAGACAGAGACAGAAAGCAAGAAATCACCCCCCAGAGGACATGGCCACGCCACAATCCCCTCTCCTTCATTCTCCTCTCGGGCTCCTAGGCACGCACACACACACGTGCCTGGCATGAGTTTAAGCCACCGGGTCCAGGACTCAAACCACGGTCGACTACATGGGAGTCCAGCAACATAGCCATTACGTCAACTGCTGGTCCCCATCAGCATCAGTTTTATATTCTCTTTATATATTGGGTCATCAGGAAAGTCATGATATATTTTTGCATAAAAAAATACATTGTGACTTTCCTGACAAACTAATAAGATGTCTGGTATACACATGAAGTTAAAACATGTGACTTATAATCTAGGGGAAAACAAGTCAAGAATAGCAGGCCTGCAGATGATCCAGTATTATAGTATTATAACCAACGGACAACAACATTATCTGTTATAAATGTTGCAAAAAATAGAGGGAAAAGGGAGGGAAATATATATGATGGAAAGACAAAGAATGTCAGCAAAGAAATAGAATACATAAAAAGAACCAAGAAGACAGTCTAAAATTATAAGGTATAATATTTGAAATAAAATATTCATGGACAGAGACCAGCAAATGGTATAATGGTTATGTCTCTGGACTCCCACGTAGTCAACCATGGTTCAAGACCTGGACCTGGTGGCTTAAAACTCATGCCGGGCATGTATGTATGTGTGCCCAAAATCTTGAGAGGAGAATGGAGGAAAAAGGGTTGCAGTGTGGCCATTCCCCCTGTGGGATGATTTCTTGCTTTTGGTATTTCTGTCTCTCTATCTCTCTGGCGAACATACACATCCTATAACAAAATCTCTCTCTAAAAAAAAAACAAAAAAACAAAAAAACTTAAAAATATCATGGACAGATTTAGTATCAGTCTGATTTGCGCAGAAGAAAGGATTGATGAACTTGACTATAGAGCAATAAAAATCATTCCACTGAAGCAGAGATACAAAAAAATTAAAAATAGTAAGTATAGGAGGCTCTGAGAACACTGTTAATAGTCTACTACACACATAGAGTATTTGAAGGAAAGCAAAGATAGAGGGCAGAAACAGTAACTGAAAGGATAATGGCCAAAAATTTTAATTATAAATGCAAATTATAAACATTCAGGAAATAAGAATGCAATAATTTAAATAGAATACTGCTGCTGATTTGAACAACTCTTCATTATCTTCAAGTAATTTCTACTTACGTACAACATTCAATTATTTACTTATGTTGAAAATCTCAAAATTAAATACTTATAATTCTTAAAATTTCAATACCTTGGGACCAGGAGGTGGTGTGGTAGTTAAGGGCACTGGACTTCCACATGGCCAACCTATCAAATCAACAGTTCGATTACCAGACCTAACAGCTTGCTTTCTCACTTTCCCTCTCTCTCTCTTGCTTTCTCCCTCTCTCACTCAGGTCAAATTAAAATTAAATTAAATTAAATAATACTTTAATTTTTTTTAATTTTAATACCTTATAAAAGTAAGTTTTGTTTTTTATTTATTTATTTATTTTTAGAGAGAGAGAGATTTTTTGTTGTAGAGCATGTGCATTCGCCAGAGAGACAGAAATTGAGAAATCACCCCCTGGGGGGGTGGCTATGCCATAATCCCTTCTCCTCCATTCTCCTCTTGAGATTTTGGGCATGCACACACGCACATCTGGTGTGAGTTTCAAGCTGAGGAGTCCAAGACTTGAACTGTGGTCAACTATGTGGGAGTCCAGCAACATAACCATAACGCTATTTGTTGATCCCTAGAAGTTTTCTTAAAAATGATGAAATAGCTGAGGCTTCTTACATTTTCACCTTCCTTGCATTTTTAGTTCCCCACAATAGCTGACATAGCTAATAGGCCTCAGGATGATACTTATTATGAATGCTTCTTCCAGAAATCAAGTTGTTTCTCTAACCTTGTTTAGTCAATTTTCCCCACCCTAACTTTCACTCTTCTAAAATAAAAAGAAGAGTTTTCAAAAAATTTAGCAAGAGTTTTTTTTTAAGTATTTTTAAAAAGAATTATCCATTTAATTTTATTTATTCATGCACTTATTTTAATTTGACCAGAGATACAGATAAAGAGAGAGAGAGAGAGAGAAAGAGAAAGTGAGAGTGAAAAAGCAATCCACCAGGTCTGGGACTCGAACCATGGTCAGCCACATGGACGTGTCCAGCGCCTTAACTATCACTCCACCCACTGGTCTCTTTAAGTTTTTTTAATAAGTCATTTATTTGTTTGTTTGTTTATTTATTTATTTACTTACTTACTTACTGTAATTTGACCAGAGAGGGACAGAGTGAGAAAGAGAGGGAAAGTGAGAAAGCAAGCCTCCAGGTCTGAGACTCAAACCATAGTCGGCCATGTGGGAGGTTCAACGTCCTTAACCACCATGCCACCTACCAGCCTTAGCAGAGTTGTTTATATATTCATAGAAAACCACCATGAGATATGTGCTATTTCTTTATTCAAAACTATGTTCATTTTTAAAGTTTTACTTATAAGGCAAAAGAAGAGGATTTGCTTTCTATAAAATAGAACAAATAAAGAAAACAAATATGATTGGCAGTTCCTCATTATTCAAGCAAAACAGATGCTTGAATGTATTTACCTAACTTTAACAAACTATGATGATGGGAAAAAAGTATCTCTGTTTTTTCCAAAATGATAGCCCCCCCCCCAAAAAAAAAGTCACAAGGGTGAAGGAAAGAGGAGGGCTATAAGTGAGTTAAATGATAAAGGATAGGGCACAATACAAATAAATATACTATCAAAAAAATAAAAGTCAGTGAGGAGGGAGAGCCAGGAGGTCACTAGTGAGGTAAGACCATCTATCTTTAAGTAAAGTAAAAGCCTGGCCTACCTATAATTCATCCCACTGGCCTTACTATTGTGATTTAAATTCTGAGCTCTGGAGTCCAACAAACCTAGGTTTATATCCCAGCTTCTCCAGTTAAAAGTTATTAACTTCTCTAAGCTTCTAAGCTTCATTTTTCCCGGTACATAATACAGGATAATACCAACCACAAAAGAATTATTAAGATTAAATGAGAGACTGCATGTAAAGCAATTACTACAGTTTCTGAAAAATAATATAAAATAACACTATTATCTTCAGTGACTGGATTTTTATCCTAAAATTCTTATGTAAAAAATAAGAAAAAAAAATCATACCTTCTGTATCATTCTCTGAACTTGTTTCACTGAAGCTTTTCCACCGTTCTTTTGCTCTTGAGAGAAAGATTTCATAAAGTTCTGGGAGGAAAAAGATAATTCATAAATCATAGGAAAGAAATATATTTGCATCATTTTTACTATTATTATAAGTCAGGTGTCTCTGGTATAAGACATATCGAAAAAGTGGCAAATTGAAGCACTTAATCTATTAAGTACTTTCATCCTACAAATGAAATTATTCATTCTACAATCAGAAAGACAATGAACGGAGACACGGCGGTGCGATGGCCAGAGAGATGCCGCTGTAACGGAGCATCGCTGCCGTACAGTACAGCAGGACGTCATCTGTGGAGTCAGACCTAGGGTCGAATTCCAGCTCTGCCACTTACTACCAGTGGACTTCGAGAAAGTTACTTAACCACTCTGGAACTTAGCTTTCTTCATCTGTAAACTGTAGAAAATATACACCTACTTACAGGGTAACTGATGATTAAACAAGGTAATGTATGTAAAGTTCCTGGTGTCTGATAACCCCTTAATAAAAGCTAGGTTTTGCTTTCTCTCCTCAAACTGGTTTCTCCAATGTGATGTTGCTATCTAAAGCTACCTACACTCCACACAGACTTGGTGTAAGGGTCTACATACAAAAACTCTTTGTCTCTCATCTTTGTAATTTAAGTGCCTAGTCACTTTTTGAGACAACCATTATGTCTCTATATATGCAATCTCATAAAAACTTCAGGAAGATGGAAGACTAAAAACTTTGCTCAAAAATCCAATTTTAATTGTCTTTGCTTTCTAACTAGGTATTACAAATATTCGAAATTATTATTAAATTGTGAATTTCAGTGACAAAGGAACAGTACAAAAAGACTTATTTCCCAATCACTAACATTTATGTATCATCTAAAATACCAAGAACGTTTTTGCTTCCATTAATTACTTAAACAATTTTTAAAGGCAATGCATGAACATTTAAACAAAATCAAACAGTATAAAACAGTACAGAGTGAAAAATCAATTTCCTTCACTTGGATGCAACTAGTTATCAGCACTCTTTAAGAACTCTTACAAAGATGAAAATATGCATGCACAAGTATACACACATATATTCTCTTTAAAAAAAAAAAAGTAGTAGCACATCACATGCACTGATCTGTAGCTTATCTGTTATATTGGAGATTGTTTCACATTAGATACAGACTTGCTTTCATTCTTACTACTTCAGAGTATTCCAAAATGTATGACTGTACCATAACCAGTATTACACACTGCCAAGGTCAGATCACTACCAAATAGCTGACTAGGTAGATTTCAAATAAACTTACTATTCTTACCTCTTCTTCCTTCTAGTCCTCTCTCATTAATACCAATTGCTCGGAAAGAATGCATTTTAAGAGGAAAAAAAGTCAAACTAAATTCTTATTACTTAATGCCCAACCCTATCAATGATTTGGTAAAAGACATGAACATACTTTGAAATTTTGCACATGTAATTATTTGGGGTTATCAGGCATCAAATTGTAAATCCATACTTTATTTCAAATGCTTTTCATTATTCTACCCAAATTTTAAAACTGCCTTGGAAGAAGGAAGGCTTATCAGGGGAAAAAAAATTCACAGCACTTATCTCTAACAAGCAGACCTCTATCTCATTTCAAAGACATGTGTGGATCTTCGTATTATTTTTATTTTGTATCTACAAAGTGAATTCCTGAAGCAGACTTGAAGAACCTTGGACCTGAATACTTTGATTTCAATGTAAATATCACTTTCAGTTTTGTGACAATGATGAAACTATATATACTCTAAGTAAGGTGTACATTGAATATAATTTTATATTCATCACATATATCTATTTAAATGATCCTTTGAGAAAGCTAATAATCTTACCACCATTTTACAGATGAAGAAAACTAAGGATTCTAGATGTTAAGTAATTTGCCCAAGGTTACAGATCTAATATATTTAGTGGAACCAAGATTAACAACTTTTGACCGACTTTAGAGCCCTTACTCTTAGCTACTGCTCTCTAGTGGCTATAAATTTCATGACTGAAAAAATATTAGTAAAGAGTCAAATATTAGAGCCATTTAAAAGTAAGCAAAGCTATCAAAAATAAATTTATTTCTATCAAAATTTAGCATCATTCCCACCACTAATGAAAAAGATGAGAACGGGGGGCCAGCAGATGGCGTGGAGGTTAAGAAAACTAGACTCCCTCATGGCCAACCACGATTCAAGTCCCAGACCTGGTGGCTTGCTTTCTCACTTCTCTCTCTCTCTCTGTCCATTTCTGGTCAAATTAAAATAAATCAAGTTCAATAAAAAATTATTTAAAAAATAAAAATATGAGAATGAATACCCATTCCATTCCTGAATATATGAGTGTTTAATAAAGAAAAATCTAAACTTATTTTGAAAATAAATGATCTGGCTAAGTTATAAAACTTGATAAATTTCAAGCTTAAAAAGAACTTTTGATTACAGTAACAAAAAAAAAGCACAAATTAAACCAATATTTTGATATCTAAATTATTAAGATATCTCACATTCTATAGTCAGTTGACAATAAAGGTCTGCAAATAAAATGACAAATAAAATTGAATTTAAAAAAACTAAACTTCAAATAAACACCAATATTTCACTACCTCACCTGTTTGCAAAACTGATTCAAGATATTAAACAATCACAGTATATTCAAAAATCCTTAATATTAAGGATTTTAAAAATCTAACTGAAAGTCTGAAAGTTCTGACTATAATGTAACAATACTTCCTTCTAATCCGTTTCAAGCACAGAAGACAAAAGAAAACTTCATTTATATCTGGAGAAAACAGTTAAGCCATGTAAAACCTAATCTTTTTTTAAAAAAAAAATTATGTATTTTAATTTGACCAGAGAGTGACAGAATGAAAGAGAGGGAGAGGGAAAGTGAGAAAGCAAGTCACTAGGTCCGGGACTTGAACCACGGTCAGCCATGTGGGAGGTTCAGTGCCCTCAACCACCACACCACCTGCCAGCCCCAAATCTAACCTTTTTTAAGTTAAATTAAAAACCTTAGTTCTTTCTTCAAGTTAAATTTTAGAAGATTTTTTTTTAAGTTCTTTTAAAATAACATGTTCACTACAGGATACTTATGAAAAGTAATTTTTTTTGATCTGAACTTTCTTTGTATTGAATGTGTCTGTTTTAACTAGCCAGACAGAGAGAGACATAGAGACAGAAAGCGAGAAATCGCCCCCCAGGGGGGAGGGCCACACCGCAATCCCTTCCCCTCCATTCTCCTCTCGGGATCTTGGGCATGCACGTACACACACCCAGGGTGAGTTGAAGCCACTGGGTCCAGGACTCGAACTGCAATTGACTACATGGGAGTCCAGCAACATAGCCATTACGCTAACTGCTGGTCCCTGAAAAGCAATTTTTGAAATCACACAGAATCATGACATCCCAAATTGATATCACTTTAAAGACTAAACATAAACATTTGGATTTCTGCTGTAATTCTGTCCAATAATATATGATGCTGATTGTGGCAATGAACCTCCTTATACAAAAGCTTTTGCACCCAATCTTGATTATTTCCTTACATTCTTAGAAATTGAATAAGTATGGGACCAGCAGCTGGCATAATGGCTACGTCGCTGGATCCCCATGTAGTCGACCACGGTTCAAGTCCCGGACCCATTTATATCTGGAGAAAACTGACTTAAACTTACGCCAGGCACATGTGTATGCATGCCCAAGATCCCAAGAGAGAATGGAGGAGAAGGGATTGCAGGTGTCCATCCCCCCTGGGGGGGGGTGGTTTCTCACTTTCTGTCTGTCTCTGTCTTTCTGGCGAGCATGTGAGCCCTATAGCAAAGACCTCTTCAAAACAAAAATAAATTGAATAAGGGGGAGGGGTCAAAGATTATATTTTCTGAGACTTTTGGTAAATATTTCTAAATTATTTTTAGTCATACTCCATATGAATAATCCTTATTAATTTTAATCTTTTTTGAGTGATAAACAGCAATACTTTGATTCTGTTTTAAATAAATATTTATTAAATTTTGTTATTTTTTGAAAGAATTATTTTTTATTTAATTTTATTTATTCATTCATTTATTTTAATTTGACTAGAGACACACACAGAGAGAGAGGGAAAGTGAGAAAGCAAGTTGCCAAGTTTGGGACTTGAACTGTGGTCAACCATGTGGAAGTGTCCAGCGCCTTAGCCACCAAGCCATCTGCTGGTCCCATTATTATTCTTTTTCTAATCTGACCAGAGAGAAAGAGAAAGAGGGAAAGTAAAACATTAAGTCGCCAAGTCTAGGATTCAAACCGTGGTCAGTTATGTGGAAGTCCAGCACCTCCACTACCATGCCACCTGCTGCCCCCACCCCCATTATTTTTAAATTTTGCCACTGGGTATGTGTGCTTGCCGGAATGAGACAGAGAGACAGAAAGATAGAAAGCAACTCTGATGGGGTGTGGTCACACTGAAACGCTTTCTCCTCCATCCTTCCATCAGTACTCTGGGCATGCATGCACATGTGCCCTGTGTGCTTTTCAAGCCACTGAGACTGGACTCAAACTGTGGTCAACTGTGTGGGATCCACTGCCTTAACCACTAGGTTATGGAGCTGACTCAGTGCTGTTTTAACATATCTTTGATTTTATTATCACAAAGAAAATGGTTAAATAAATTATAATACAGTCATACTCTGGAATACAACATAGCTATAGTATAAGTACGGCAGACTGACAGGAATGTTCAAGATAGATTACAGTGTAAAAAAAGTAGTCCACAGAATAATCATATGGCATAAGCTGTTTTTTATGGAGGAAACAAAAACCTTAGAAAGTAGATGTAGGGGAGTAGCAGATGGCATAATGGTTACATCAATGGACTCCCACATAGTAGACCACAGTTTGAGTCCTGGACCTGGTGGCTTAAAATTCACACTGTGTGTGTGTGTGTGTGTGTGTGTGTGTGTGTGTGTGTG